GACACCAATGAAGGATGGACAACATCCATGGTTGCCGCGGAGTCTCTAAGTGCTCCGCACGTTTTCTCATTCACCCTAATTTCTTGGAGATACGGCTCCAACAACCGCATGTTTTTTTCTGATTCTCGGATTGTTGCGAAGGCAAACTTTTCCTGACAGTTTGTCTGCCATGTGCCCTTCCTTTTTGCAGTTGTAGCAGATTAGCGGCTTCCGTGATTCAAATGCCCGTGTGGTAGAAACCTCACTCGATTTCTCCGCTTCCGTTTGCCCTTCCCCTACACTGTCCTTCGTAAGAGACGCGTCCTTCTTGAAATTACGGTGCGGAGCGGGTCTCCGTTGATCAGGTTTCTTTGAAAAGCCCTCTTTTCTCTCATTCTTTTCAACGCGCACTGCCCTGCTGTGCAACTTTCGGCGAGTATAATACTCCTCCGCTAACTCTGCTGCCTTGTTTAGCTGTACTTCACCAAGTTTGTCCTGCAGCCAAAGTTTGACATCCTCCTCGATGCAGCGGTAGAATTGCTCTAATGCAACGCATTCCACCACTTTATCGCGGTCGTCATAAACACCTTCGCCCTTGAGCCATTCCATTAAATCGGATTTAGGACGAAACGCGAAGTCAACGTGTGACTCATTCCCCTTTTTAGCATACCGGAACCTTTGCCTGGAAGCCTCGGGTGACAACTTATAACGTCTTAAGAGCACTTCCTTAACCTCGTCATAGCTCTCAAACGCTTCCCTCGACAAGCAAGTTATCACGTCGGACACTTCGCCGGGAAGAAGAGCTAACAGGTTCCGCGCCCAAAGAGACCGCTCCAAAGCGTTTCACTCACAGACGTGTTCAAACTTGACGAGATACTTGGCCATCTCCTCGCCTAACACGAACGGTGGCAGTTGGTCCCGAATTCTAAAACCGCTGACCTGAATCATCGGAGAAGCTACGCTAGGCGCCTGCGAACACTGTAGGATTGCCAATTCTATTTGTTTCAACTCGAGGCGCTCCTGTCTCTCGGCCTCCTCGCGACGTTCGCGCCTTTCAGATTCTTCACGTTCGCGAGCTTCGCGCCTTTCAGCTTCTTCGCGAGCTTCGAGCCTTTCAGCTTCTTCGCGATTTTCGCGCCTTTCAACTTTTTCGCGAGCTTCGCGCCTTTCAGCTCCTTCGCGAGCTTCACGCCTTTCAGCTTCTTCACGAGCTTCTCGCCTTTCAGCCTCCTCACGTTCGCGAGCTTCTCACCCTTCAGCCTCCTCGCGGCGTGCTTTGATATCCACCCAGGCCTCATCGACTTCCTCAGCCGACACTCCCTCATCCTTCATGATCTCAATGATCGCTTGCTTTCGTTTCGCACGGCCCAAAGTAATGCCGAGTTCCTCACAAATTTCGATGAGTTCCTTCACTTTAGGTTTCTCCATCGTTCACACTAGCCTCTTGCTGTTTGCCCCTGTTAAGAATCTACTTGCCGTACCCACTATAAGCCTACTAGCAAGACGCGCAAGCAATTTTTTACACTCCCATGTTTACCCCCTCCGCATTAACTTTGGTTTCAAAGCACTTCGACATTGCTTGAAACGATCAAAGCTCACTTCAATGCTTCACACAGCCCTTCTCTAAACTACTACAACCTGAGCTAGAGTAGTCTGGTGAACTGAGGGGAAAACATCAGGCACTCACCGCATCGATGTCGCTGACGCCGGCCGATCCCGCAGCTGCCAACCTCTGTTATGAACGACCACCTCTGACGACGTTACGAAGGGCGTTACGAATCTCACCGCTGCAAACACTGTTACGACTGCTGGCCGATTCCACCGCTGCCACCACTGTTGCGAAAGACGGCGACGCAAACACGGTCCCGAAGGCGCCACTGCTTCGAACTCCGCAGGGAAGGTCACCAGCCGTTTGGTAGCGTAGGTTTCTCAGCTCGCGACTGCTTCTGCGCAGAGCTGATAGACGAGCGGACGAGACGACGGTGAGTTAAACAAGGTTTATGTACAGCATATATACAGAGGCGTTACAAATCCGGCACTGGGGCCGACAGAGACTCGAAGAGCCGAGCTCTCCTCTTTAACACAAAGGTGTGCTCTCAAATGGGTCAGCTCTGACACACATGTCAGCTTTCACCTAGGACCGCCGATCGCGGCGCGCCGCAGGGCTTCTTTTATTTGCACCGGGTCCAACCAAAATGTCCAATCAGAAGCGCCGCTGGTCGTCAGGGCAGACTCCTCCAGTGGGGTCACCGCGCAATGCGTCAGACCCCCAGACATGAAGACGCCAGTTGTTTACTCGACGGGTCACTTGCCGAGGCTGACTCACTGCACGTGCACGCCAGAGAGGCGCCGTTGAGTTGTTGATCGCGTCAGGCGGACTGGCCTTGACACAGATTGCCTTTTTCAGAGGCACGGCCGTTCGCTGTGGACTCGCAGGCATAACAGTATGCAGCTATGTTGTTGTGCTCGTCTTGCGACATGACCGTAGGCTGACTGCGCAGACGGTGACCTGACCGGAGCTCCAGGGATGGTTTGACGTCGCAGATAACGAAAAAGCGCCTAAGGAAGAGGACGAGGGAGCCGGAAAGCAGCTCTGCCACTACTTGTAAAGCAACGTTTTGGCTGCAAGACACTTCTTTTACATGCCGAGCCTCTGCCCCACAACACAAATCATAATGACGATAATGAGTATGTAGATATGGTAAGAAGACGCGTACGAATAATGATCACAATATATACTCCTATGCTACAGCCGTCACTTCGAGCCTACCATAGTTGTGTGCTATGCACTGAAGTCGATTTAGGCAAGAAAATTCAACGGCTAACACCCTCGCAAGCACGAGCGCTTCACATCAGCTTATCGCTTTTGTTGTTGCTAAAGCTCACGCTTCTGTTTGTATTGTTGCGCAAGGGCAAAAAACTTGGTATATAAATATGTGTCGCTCTTCAACATATGTCTGTGCGTGCAAGATTAGGAGATATATTCAGCGTCATTTCATGAGGTGCCTCTTAATAAAAAACTACAAGATTACCACTTTTCTTCCGCCTGCTTTGCATAACGTTGATTACCAAGTTACGTGGCATTAGTCGGCTTTTTAAAGACGGTAGTCTTTCATGGGATACTTCAACTGAAAAATTCTGGCATGTCTGTTTTTTTTACTATCCTAAGTATCACACAATTCCGCCTCCTGACAAAATTTGAGGCTCAGAGTGAACGCCCAGCCATTTCGAACTCCTTGCTCTATTCATGCTTGTGAACATTGTCAATCAAAACACAAGAAATTGTAAATAATAACAATGCGCGAGTATTAAATAGTGTGTGTCCATTTTTAATATATGAATACGTAATTCTAAAGGCCACAGGGCTAATTACGGTACGCTGATCATTCGGCACTAAGAATAACTGGCGGATAGTACTACAATTCACTAAAACGACACGGTGTTGTCACGCACTAGTAGTTGGCCGGCTCTTAAAAAGTTTAATTTTTTAGAAACTACTTTCAAATGGCGTACATGTGTCTACCAGCGCCTGTTGACAGCGCCCACGCCAATGTAATCTCAGCCTAAGGGTGCCATTCAACAATCTCGTCGCGTAAAATGTCAAACAAGCGATTTAGTCTCTGTCTCTATACAGAGGACTATCAACTTTTGAGGCACCTATGGCAGTGAAGCGCGCAGATATGAGGCCAATATTTTATCCAGTGGCCGCGCAACAGCACTAACATTTTCGTTGCCTAGAGTCGCTTGTGCCCAGCATGTTTAATCTGGCTAGAAGAGAGACCCGCGTATCGCTTTCCATTCTTGTTGACCCTGCCGCACTGGCCACAGAGGCACATTGTTCGCCGAACACACTTTGAAATTTACTAAGCGTTCCTCATTTTTAAACACGATAGTGTTTTAGGCGGGGTCCGCCACTGTGCTGCGGACGTATTTCCCTCGCGCATATGGTGTTGTAAAGTATATACGACACATGTAAAGTATATACGGCAAAAGAAAAAAAAACAATAATTGAGATCTCTGCCATGGAACGTCAAAACAGTGGCCTATCAATCAGCAGCGCGCGGCGCTAACCACCACGCTACAGTGCGCATGCAGTCGGTGCTGCTAATGGAAAGCCATTATTTTGCGCCGTAAACCATTTGGAGGTTTTTAGAGGTCCAATTATTCAGCGCGTTTTCGTTGTCAGTAGCGAGATGGCACAACAACCGCGCGTTGGGCGCGTCAATTGTCACCGCCTGTCGTGTTTCTGAAAGCGCCGGCTCGACGAAGCGTGGTCTCCTGCACGTGTACGTATCAGACTCGTGTTTCAAGCGAGCACGAAGGTCACTCAACTGCCGCGGCCGCATTGGCGAAAAGTGCACGCAGATCACACACGAAGTAAGAAATGTGAAACTTATACGCACTGGTCCTCTGTATACTCGTGCGCTCATTTCTCGCACCGTTTCTTCTGTTTATGCAGCGCTCTTTAAGTGTGGAGCTGTGACAGTTGTTATTCGGCGCTGCACTTGCTTTCTGCTTAAGGGTGCACGCTGCAAGTTTTGAGCTGCTGCTGCTTACCATTGTTCGCGTGACTTTGCAATTCCTGATTGTAGCATTCATTCCTTCGGCCTTGTGCCGAAACAATGCACAAGAAACACTCAACTATCTCGGTGAAGACATGTTTCACTCTCGTGTTTTACCGATTTCCAGAAAAAAGAATCAGCCTCGTTTCTTTCTTTCATTTTCTCGTTTTAAAAGTAATTCTGTGGAAACTACTACGCGTGTGGGTAGGGAGCAAGGCTGCCTAGAAATTGTCGACGTTGTTGATGGCACTGCTCAATGGCATGGGCACTTGGATGTGAAGCAGAAAAAGACATAACTTACAGAGCACCCTACACAGACGTTCATCATTTCTGGTGGCGAATGATATTTGTTTGACCCAAGGCCATTTACCGCTTTCAATGTAGAAATGTTTGAATTTTGAGGCAGTACTACTGTAGGAGCAGAAAATTTAAGCAAAACAAAAACTTCTTTGAACGCAGGTGTCCATTCCAAACTGGCCAAAGCGTAGATGTTGCAGGTCTGGGACAAGCAAGCCCGGTCGCCTACCCACATTGCTGCGAGCGCTGCCGAGCTATTCGATGATCTCGTGGGACGATCATTTGGAACCCTAATGTAGGGGTCTCTAAAATGATTTGTTTGCGGCCCAGCGAATGCAGCACGAATAAAGTGTATGCCTCTTTTCTAATTGGTAGACACCTTTTTTTACTCGTTTATTTTGGTTATTACTGCTTTTCCGGGTAAGTGAAAGAAGCGGCACTACTCTCAAGGTCCCCATCTCTCCTCCAAGGTATCTCATGCTGTCACAATTTGTTGAGAGAAAACCGAGACAAAGTAGCTCTAAATTTAAAAATCGTCATTCAGATTTGAAACGTTCTGAACAGTTGCATAGATATGTTTCTCAAATCGTGACGCTGAATCCTTCAAACTTTTTTCATATAAGAGGTAACATTTTGATCAGACATTGCACCTACATGCGTAAGTTTACTTCGTTAAGCCAGCCATTGGTGTACTGTAATATTACGCCGTGTATTTGCCGGACTAAGAACAAGGAGGCGAAGCGTGGATGTTGGAAGAAACTTTATGGGCACCTTTGCTCTGTGTGGTGTGGCCATCCAAGCTTTCTGGCCACTAAAATCGTCAAACACCTACTTCGGACGTTACAGAGTGGTGGACCCATTTGCGGGATAAAAACAGCTTTCGGAAAATATCACCGAAGAGAGCTGGCCACATCACGTGTCATGCTCTCCTGTCTGCCTCCTAGCTCTCCTCGAACGATCTGATGGACGATTGTAGCAGATTCAACAGTTGGTACACTCTCTACACTGGCCACCGTGGTAATTATTTCAAGAACAAACTTCGGCGTTATTCTGGCCTGCTTTTGTGTCTCAAACGTCCGACAGCGGCGAATGACATGTGACTGCCTATTTTTTGGTGACTTACTTTTTTTGTGAAGTATTTCTTAGCGAACTTTGATGGCCTTTAGCTTATCTATCTATCTATCTATCTATTTATCTATCTATCTATCTATCTATCTATCTATCTATCTATCTATCTATCTATCTATCTATCTAGCAGCTTACGTTTTGGTGCTCTCGTGGTCAACCCCTTCACTTGGGATGAACCAAAATTCGCATGTGAGGTTATGACGCGATTGTAAAGGCATAAAAAATGTCACAATCACACCACGTACGTCGTCAAACACTTGCCGTCAGACGATGGCACATACCTACGAGCGAGTGTGTGCCACTAGTATGCGAATATTTGCGACAGGTGATTGACACTTATTATCTACCCAAGAATGACGAGAACCCACATGGGCAATTTTATTGCGCAAGCATTAAAAATGCCTGACAGCGGTAACGTCGACTCGACAAATGCAAAGAATAAAGGTCAGCGTCCCAGCTGGAATCGAACCCAAGCATTCTGCGTGGCAATGAAGTCATTTCCCACAGAGCTACGCCAGGTCTCGGAGCTCCTTTTCAAGCAAACTCTAACTGTCGTAAACGTCAATAGTGCTTGCAGTGCGGCCTATCAAGTTTTATAAACATTACATATTTACTCTATTTATACAGCCGTCACGTCGGGTAAACATCTATAATGGTTAGTTGCCGTGCGCTGAAACTGATTTATGTAGCAGTGTCCAAGTACGAGCATCCTCGCGAACTAATATATCAGCTTCTGGTGTTTTTAATACGCAGGTAAGGAGGAAGACGACTACGAAGCTTGTGTTACCTGCCTAAGTATCTCCGCTTTCATTTATCATTCCTTTATTTTATACTACATCTCAGAACTGATGAAGACGTCAGACGACTTGAAAAGGTACCTCCCTTATCAGAGAGCATCGAGTGCTAGGCAACCCGCCGCTTTAAAGGTACTAAAAGGACCGAAACAAGGGTCAACGAGAGTGCCACCATTACCTCCCAAGTGGTGACACAGGGCCACAAACATCAACTGGCCTGCGTAAGTATGCCTGACTGCAAGCAAAAAGACATCACTGAACCTGAGGACGCCTCAACTGACATCGGAGACCCCAACTCGGCGAACTCTGCGGATCTAGATATGAACGAGGGTGGCTTTATGTGGTGCGTCATCGCAAAGACAGGAGAGGTGTATTTTTTTTAATACTTGCTTCAGCATCTGAAAGACCTACTTGAGGCAAATGAAACCTATTGTCCTTTCTTCTGAGATTGAAACGATAGTCGGTGTAGCCCCAGACAAGAGTCACTTCAAATCACAGGGTTCTTTGCTCTTGGATATTGCGACGGAAGATCAAGCAAACGTGCTTCGGAGACCAAACACATCTGTGGCATAGCCATATCTGCCCGTGTACCCCATAGCTATATGAAAAATACGTGCGTCGTAAGAAAAGTCTCAAGATCGTACTCGGACGAAAAGTTGCTAACATACCTGCAATCTCACGGAGTATACCACGCAAGAAGAATCATCCATCGCGTCCAAACCTCATCCTACGAATAGGAATTCAGGCATACTGGCTTTATGGTGCTCATATTACCGCCCGAATCAGAGCGCCAGGACGAGATAAACCTTGGCTTTAGCAGACATGAGCTGGACGGCTACGTGGACACACCGCCACGTTCTTTCAAATGTCAGCGTTTTGGGCAGGTCGCTAAACAATGTCGTGGAGAACAGAGCTGCAAGCGCTGGGGGGGGGGATGCTTATTACTTGAAGCCGTGTATAGGTAAATAACAAAAATTGTGCTAACAGCAGCGGTGACTATCCAGCTAGCCATGGCAAATGTTCAGCACAAACAGCCGCTCAGAGAATAAATAATACATTTGTTCTCGGCCTGAAGGCTGTAGGCGAACCATCGAACACAAGGAAGACAACCAATGCGCCGCAACGTAGTGGTTTAGATAATGACCATGCACAGGAACGTTTCCGCGCCTGAAACCAACAAGAGACGTAACTGAACCAACGAAAATTATTATTGTTGCTGAAGGAGGTGTCTCAGAGTCCACCAAGCGCACCTATGCGGCTGCATTGAACCAATCTAAAACAATTGCAAGCAATCAACATGAAAACATCGAGCATGTGACTCGAGCTTCGTGCAAGGCACTGCACTCACACGTCGCAAAGATGCCAGCGAGTTCTACTAAAGATATGTTGGAAGCTGTACTGGCTCTTGAATCATTGATACTGTGCTTCGCTTCCACGCATACACTGTAGAATATGGGGAATATCTTGCCCGCCTGGCCAATTCCTTCCCTCAAAAGTGCCCTTCATAATGTGATGGAATTGTTCCGGTCTTGTGCAGTGTCTGTGTGAACGTATCTTGCGAGACATTCCAATACCGATTTCAGCCCTCTTGAAAGCCAGCCTCCCAAATGGAAGGACGCCCACAGGATATATCTGACATTGCAATGCGAGCATACCATGATTTGCAAATGGAAACGTCACAATATACATAAGGCGGGAAGTAACGCACGTCACATTACCAGTGCAAGACCTCTGCTCCAACTTACTTGAAGTCCCTGCGGTGAAAGTGTGCATAGAAAACCGAAAAAACAGTGTAATATCGGTTTAGAAAAGTGCACCAAGGAAGTTCTCTATAGAGGCTGTCCTAAAGGATATTTGCACTCGGTATCCCGCTTCTCAAATAATCTGTAGTGAATTAACGCACATCACCCCCTCTGGTAAGATAAGAGTGCTGACTCCCGAGGCAAGTAACTTTTAGCAGCAGCAAATGCTGCTGACGTATGTGTGGCCAATAATGGCAAAGGAACATTTTTTCCGGCAACAGGATTTGTGGAGTGTGATAGACAATGTACTACGCTCGACGGACCTTCTTGTATCATTGGCAATGGTCCCAAACAGAATGGGCAGCGACCATTTCTCTATATTCACCAATATCATTGAATTTGGAACCACTGGTCAACATTTCTGCAATGTGACTCACTGGGACACGTACAGAACAGCGCTTGACGAATGCTCTGGTGAGCTGTTTGCAGACATATTACGAAGAAAGCGAGTGGCTACGTTGCTACTAAAATTGCCCGATAATTTCCCTGCTCCACAATTGAAGTTAAAGAACCTGTGCGCAACACGTACAAGAGCGGAGTGGAGGCTTATCAGAAAAAGGAAACCTATCGGTGAAAACTGAACATAACCGCATAAACGCTGCCATATGTCGCCACACAAAAAAACTACGCAGAGTGCAGTGGGCTGCTTTCTGTGAAACTTTATCGCCGTTTACACCCTTGACAAGAACATGGAGAGTCACAAATAGTCTTTCTGGAAAGATCCGCTCTCACAGACCACTAGAAGCACTCGCATTGAAGCAAGATAAAGATTTGCAAACCCTTTCTGAAGATTTCGCAGACGTACGCACATCTGGCAGATCAGCAGGAGTGGCGATACCTCTTCTACCTCAATCATCCCATACAATGGATATGCCATTCACATTTAGAGACCTGGATATGGCGCTTATCAAATTAAAAAAGACTTTGTGCTGTTTGAGTCTCGATATGATCAGCAGTCAGATGCTGACAAATCTGCCATATGATCGAAGGTACACTCTTTTGGACATAATAATAATGCCTGGAGCACAGGAGAGATTCCATTTCTATAGAAGACAGCAAAGGTGGTGCCAGTGCTGAAGACTGGAAAAGTTACTGCGAGCCTCACCTGACATCGACCGGCATCGCTATTGTCATGCGCATCTAAGTTGATGGAAAGACTCATATGCACAAGACTAACCTTGAGAAACAAGGAAAATGGCCCACCTGTATGACACAATTTAACCACGGCTGAGCGCCCAGGACAGTGCATCCGACGTGCTGAGCCACATCGAGCACCACCGTGTTAGCGGCCTCCCCATGCTCGCCGTCTTCATGGACGTTGCCAAATATGGCTGTGTGCTTCCAACGGGCATCGTCAACGTACTGCAACCAATGGGTATTTCGGGAAATGCTCTTCGTTTAGTACATGCATTGATCGGAGACGGGCATGTCCGGGTTAAGCTTAGAAATGCATGAGCGTAGAGCGAAGCGTTTTCCTCGGCGTTTCACAAGGAAGTGTTGTATCTCCTTTGCTTTTTACGTTGCCTAGGCCAGCTTTCCA